TTCCACCAAACATAATTCAGTTTGTTAAACGCACTGTCAGCGTGAACAACTATTGTGTCAGGCATGGACATGTACAGAAGTACGTCAAGTTTAGCCAGGTCGATGTAGCGTCGATGTTTGTGGGGAGATAGTCATTCTTAATATATGTCAGTGATGGGAGTTACTTCAAACAAACAGGTACATGAGTGTATTCGTTCGTATTTCCACATTACGTCACCACTCCTACAATGGGAGATGTCATGTTAATTTCTAAGCAACAACCTGGTTGAGCCAAAACAACCCAGATATGGAACGGTTTGCTGTGAAATCAAATATATATATATATATATATATATATATATATATATATATATATATATATATATATATGTGATTTCACAGTAAACTGTTCCATTGCCACCATTAGTTTGGACAAGTCAAAAAGTTAAATGAATCTTCTTGACCTTGGATAATATTTGTTACATTTATCGCTGCCTGTAAACCCTTTTCAGAATCTTCTAAGAAAAAGTAATTTCGCATTCCAAAAGACTAACGTTTTGAAAGCGTACTTGCCGTCATGGTAGAATAGAGGTAAACTTACTGCGCAAAAGCGCTCTGGTTCCAAAATGAAAGAAGAGGTATCAAAGCGAGACGACAACGAATTTCAAAACACAGAAGGTTTACCTCGTAAATATATCAATGTTTAATTCCATCAATCTTTACCTGACATAGTCCATAGATGTAGCTGGCGTCCTTCTATTTAACCATAGCAGTGCTATATTTCTAACAGTTATCCGGAGACATATCGTGATTTAAATATTCTGTATAAGTGGAATTTTATGCATAAACTTCCAAACAAAAGAATTTTTGAGACTGGACAGTCAATAGGTGTTTTGTTATCACAAATCGCATGCGTCATCAACACTCTTGTCGTAAAGCATTATCTGATTAATGTTACATGCATTTAAATATTCATCAGGGCGTATGGCTTGGTTCAATAACGGCAATACATTGCAACAATGGATTTCAATAGATGGAGCAGTTCACATGACTGCCTGATTGTTTACAGGCCGCCTTCGTATCACAAGAGTACCGCTGTTCCGCGATAGGCTTGATGAAACACTTAACATTTGCTTGCAAACTGTGTGGTGGCGGATGCTTCCCGCAGTGCGGAACACGCGTACCCTTTTCGCGAACATTTGGTCCCGTCACTATTTCTAAGTATACCATACCTATAACTTTCACCACTACTACTTTGCCCTATGGAATCTGTCTCGGCAGATAATCGAGATTGTTTATTCCCTGACTTTGACGTTTTATTTGCATTCAGTAAACATCGCATAAACGAGGAGTCACTGAAAACTGATTGATGTTTGATGCAGTGCACTATTTATAAGGACGTGTGCCTTGTTGGGATCTGTAGTAACGCTGCTTTTGTTTGTGGTACTTGCAATGTGTTGCAGCTGGACGTTCTTCACGATGTAAACAGGGATGATCAAGTCCTTGAGATGAGATGCGCCCCTCAGACGTGCCGGAGACATTTGGTCGCATGTTTATAGCCCCAAATCGCCATAACATATTTTTATTGAGGTATCAGCCCTATATCCGTACTCGTACGGCTCACGATTGTTGTAAACATAAACGGCTGGCATTACTTCAGGCATTCTTTTAACATCGTTCTGACATGGCGTGATACATCGGAAACACTGTTCAAAGATGTCAACATTTACACCAAAGTTTGTTGTTTCCAACTAAAGCAATGTTTATCATTTTATTCCAAAGACACGGAACTCACTCTTTACTCAATAGGTTTGCGTTTTAGAGAAGATCAATCCATGACGTGGTTCGGATGATATGCATCACCATTTACTTCAACATCGGAGGTGTATGTACCAATTCCACTCTGACAATACAAATGCCAAAAGAGTTTGACATGACACCTGAGCTTCTGTTGTAATGGTTGTTATTTACTTTTAAGTATTATCATTAGTTGGAACAAGCATATGTAGTTTCGGCTTTGTTGGTCAAGTGGTGTTGGAAGATGACAACATTGACGACGGACGCCAGACAAGCAGTTCATCACATAAGCTCACTTGACTTTCATTCAAATACGCTAAATGAGAAACATTAGGGCTTTCCAGGAGTTCGAGGAGCGTTCCAATTTGACCACCCCTGTGAAGGTTCAAAATCAGGTCAGACGACTCTCCATGGTAGTGGATCTCTCTCCCACTTAAAATGTCAGGTTGAGTAGATCCTTTTGTAGCCAGAGGCATGTAGATCCTGTTTTGTGAAAATGACGAATAGACTTGGTAGATCTTCTGGACATTAGGATAAATTACGTGATATCTGACCAACGATGGCCGATGACCGACACCATCAGCGTTTATTGACGATTTTAAGGTAAGCATATATAACCCCAACCGATGCCCTTTCATTATCAAGATGAAACATCGATCTGACCTTTAGTATGAAACATGACAAGTTGAGTGAAAGCCCTAACCCAGTTAAATTGAATTGACTTACTGAACGCTACGATTAAGAAATATTTAACGAAGGGAAATACTGTGGTCAGTATATAGAGGATATTGTATGAGTTCATGCCATACTATGTTTACGATACAAGTGTCTAAATACCGTAATTTAGGCACGAGTGTCGTACACATATTATGACATGAACACGACTATAATGTTCTATTTATTACCGTAGAAGATGTCTTAATACAGAGATAAATTTGGGTGTTTAACTATAAGGACAGCAAGTCGCAATACAGCGGAACCACAATTTGTCGAATGAAGTCAACAATCTTTAGCTATGACATCGTTTCTAATGTGACGCCATTCCGACGTCACGTCACAATAAGAATCGAATAACGTCAACAATGCCGTCCGGATGACGGAAACAATACACCGTTGTCTTTTGACGTGATATGACCCTATGGTACATTTTCTATCAACCCCGATATCTTTATCCTCGTAGGTAGTAAAATGTGATATGTGGATGTGATAATTATTGAACTACTTGCGTGTCGACATCAACCACACTGTGATTGAACTCCTCAATGTGAGTGTGTCATTGTACTGAACAGTATGAATGTGGGTTCCTTAACCCTGCCAGAATCCGTTGATGCGTTCGAATCACAGCTCTATATCAGTTGTATGACGGATACAGGAATCACTTACAATAAATATCATTGTCATTAGGTGAGCCGTTGTGACATGTTCCTTTTGTTTAATGCCGAATTCAAGCTTTATGACGAGTGCCTGTAATATTCACGCCTCGACAAATGATTGATAGTATGAGCAACACATCACGCCGATGATGTAATGATGACACACATTCACACGTCCCAAAGCCTGACAGTGCGATTCATGAGGTCGCCTCGTAGCCAGAATCCCCTTCAAGCGACCTGTCAGAACCAACTTATCAAATGTGAACAAGCAAAACATGTGTTGTATAAGGGCCATTTCCTACTGAGAGTATATTGTGCTAACGCTCTGTTATCCTGCTTTTCTGGCCATATATTATGGGATACCAGCCTCGGAATAATCCAAGTCATCCAGAACCAACTTGTTTGTCTACTAACTATTCATGTGATTTTTAATGACTGACATCACACATCTCCTGGGAGTATAATAGGATATATATCGTCTCCCAGAACTCTTCAGTTATATTAACGACAGTCGGCAATAATCAATATGTGTAGCACAAAGCGACCAATGTATGTAACAGACATAAAGTACTTTGACAAGACAGCAGCAAAAATCTGCATTTATAATAATTTAAGTGAATGTCAAAAAAGGCAAATGGTTATGTATATATTGCTTACTACAACGTCTTGAAATATTTTGTTAAAAAGAAGCGAGTAAATTAATATCCATTTGAAGCACATCTGTAATAATGAGTTGGATTACAGTAAGTCACTGGCTCGCATGCCTGGTCGTATGAGGCAATGCATTTAGAATGTGTCTTCTGAACTTGTTGATAGCGTGATTGTTGTCCTTGATGACGTAGATCGTGGCTCATGTTGTCAGGCAGTGGTTTGACAAATTTAGATGACTCACAGGCGGCCGTGATATCTAGAATACTGTGGAGTTATACCAACTCGTACAGTGCAGACCCATATTCCACATATGAACAGTTTTGAACTGTATCATACTGCCATTTTGAAGCGCATATGTGAACATAGAGTCTTCATATCAAAGACTTCCTATGGCGTGCACATTGCTGATGGTCACAATGTAAAGTTTATTTCATGCTTATTGAGGTGAAGTAGTTTGTTTTGAGAAGACTTTGGTGAAAGTCCGAACATTACCCTGTCGCAAATGACACGTGACCCCTCATCTCTCTGGGAGAAAATAATCATACGTTAGCTCTAAAACTGAGTAAAATGTGAATTCAATGCAATGGGAAGACTGGATTTATGACATGGCCCCAATAAGGCTTTATGGAAGAGGTGACTATATTTGATTTGTCGAAAAGTGTTTTTGTTGTTTTTGGTGTTTGTCGTTAAAGCCATTTATATTCCAGCCGCCTCAAATAGTCCTCTCTTGACCAGGCAAACCGGTGGTTGATATTATGAGCACCGACCCACGACATCGCTATACGATGACATGCAATCTCCCAAGTCACCCGATTTTCATTGAACCATAAGTTTCTGACACAGAATCCCGACCACGAACCAATGCTTTCAAAATGATTAGCTATTGTGGAAAACAAATAGTTGTTGAAAATTGGATGAAAAAATTGGAGCAAATAATGATATAGTTAATACAACTCTCTGATTCTCTTTGAACAGTTAAGAACCATTGGTACTTGCCTACAATTACCCTTTCAAATATTATGCTGTTATGTCTACATTCTTTATTTTGATATGTTAATAAAACCAACCTTAGTCTGACATTAGTGTGATTGAAAGTCAGAAATGATAGACGGTTTGCACACTGCTTGCGTAAAATGTTATTTCAATGAAAGAGAAAGATTCGAGGAGGTCACAATTTTTATTCAGAAATGTGAAGGGATAATAAAATAAAACACCAGTAAGTAGTGATGTACATTTCCATTGTGTAGGTATTTATTTCCATGTATCATGGTCCGTAGTAGTTATGTGACCCATTAGTTTAACTGTTGATTGCATACATCCTGCATGGCACGGAAATAGTGACCAATTAGAACAGCTGTTGTACACTAGACAATCTTATAGATGGAAATCCTCCAGCGTCCCCCACACATCCTGCTTCTGTCACCAGGACATGGGGCGTTGCATTCACTGTCGGGTTTCTTCTTGTATCCACCTTTGATGCCATCACCACAGAAGCATTTATGCCCCTTCTGAAATCAGAAGTAGCATGTGAAGTACTGTATCTGATTTCCTGCTTATTTGGAAACTCCAACACTAAGCCCCCGATAACCTGATGTATATGTCTGAACTTGTGATTCTGAAGAAGGGAATAAACAAACTGGACATGAGGTGCTCGTCACAAAGGCAATTGGATTAACATCATGGTACAAATCTGCAGGTCGCCAGCCACAGAAATGTGAGTATCTCGTGGTGATAATGCGATATGTATCCGGTGTGATGGGCTGGTGTCATGTGTTTGTCTGATGTACTAGTTTAACGGTCTAGTCTGGTGTATGGGCCTGACGAAATGGTCTCATGCACTGGCCCGTATGAGGTTCTGGTCAGATGTACTGCCCTGAGGTGCTGGTCAGACGTATAGATTTGATGCTAGCCTGCTGTATTTGTACAATAATATGAAATAAACCAAGTTACCAAAACCCAACAACCGATCAATTTCTCCTCATACAATACGCCATAGGAACCAATTCTTACCCAGAAAACCCATGTCCTCCCATATAGCGTAGTGATGTGGATTGTGACAATGAAATATGTTCATCAATAGTATGTGCATCGCTACTACATAATATACGAAACATGCATCCCTTAATATCATGCGAATCTGTAATGATACATGGTTTTCTTGCAACCCCAATTTGGGCGATCTCTGTCTTCCAATTGGTACAAATGTAGAATGTTCCAACTCAAACCACCAGTATCTAGCCGCAGAGTGACATCATTTTGGCTCTGTTACCATTTTTACTTAACCGGAAGAATAATAACTACAGCTTACCTATGTTTGAGCTGGAAAGACGTTTTAAGTCTCGTATGGTAGACGGTAGCTCACAAATATTTGTTTTAGTAACATATAAGCCTTGTTCATCATGTCAGCTTTAAATTTAAATATAAGCAGACTGTCACACTCCAGTATTGGTATCTTGCTAGGTACCTTTCCTCGACCAATGTGTTCGTCCTTCGCCAAGTATTACATTGAGTTTGGGAAGAAACCTAGCTACATTTGATAATCAGCAAGTGATTCTATCTGCTTTTAACTTTTAACACTTGTGTTTCTGTTGCATTTGAATGTTTGTACTATTGTTTATTATTCAAAAAAATATATAATTATTATAAATTTCAATACTGTCTACCCTAGTTCCAAAGTAGATGTACTTCATTCCGTGGCAGTGAAGCTTGCAGGTTTCAGTTGTCAGGCATGTTTTGTCCTCCATTTTGCCGTGTGGAAGTACAAGATCACCTTTGTCTATGTAACACCCAACGTATGTGTGTGGAACTGTAGAACGAGTAGATAAATAAGAATGATCAGTAGGGGACATCAAATATAATTTGAACAAATTAGCCAAATGTAATTGATTATGAAATACATGCAAATTAAATGTTTTAAGAGAAAGGTGTGCTCACGACTAAGCATGACGAACAGGTGAAAATTAAAGGAATTTACTTAATATTAACGGTAGAATGGTATGGTCCCTGTGTACATCATATGCCCAAAAAGAAATTGTTTGCGATTACTGAACAAGTATATTATATAAACACTGCTTCCGGAATGCGACACAGAAAATATTAACGTCTAACACGGTAATAAGTTGTTTTAGTGATGGATTATCTTATATATACTTTGAAAATTTAGAATTTTTATCAGTAAAAGAAACCGAGTACTTGTAGCTGTAAACACGAGACGTGTCGCACTACACCTACCATTTGCCTGATTAACAGTGGCAGGGCATGTCGTGGTAGTAGGCGTGGGTATGGTTGTGGTAGGCAATGGAGTCGTGGTGGTAATGGAAGGTGATGGAGTCGTGGTGGTGTAGGCTGGTGATGGAGTCGTGGTGGTAGTGGAAGGTGATGGAGTCGTGGGGATGGTAGTGGTAGTTGAAGGAGTCGTGGTGGCAGCAGTAGGTGAAGGAGTCGTGGTGGTAGTGGTCGGTGATGTAGTCATGTTGGTGGAAGTGGTAGCAGATGGCGTCGTGGACAGTGTGGTAGTAGTGGTCGTGGTGGTAGTGGTAGTTGATGGAGTCGTAGTGGTAGTGGTCTGTGATGGAGTCTTGGTGGTAGTGGTAGGTGATGGAGTTGTGGTGGTAGAGGTAGTGGTAGGTGATGGAGTCGTGGTGGTAATGGGAGGTGGTGGAGTCGTGGTGGTAGTGGTCTGTGATGGAGTTGTGGTAGTGGTCTGTGATGGAGTCGTGGTGGTAGTGGTAGGTGATGGAGTTGTGGTGGTAGTGGGAGGTGATGGAGTCGTGGTGGTAGTGGTAGGTGATGGAGTCGTGGTGGTAGTGGTGGTTGTGGTTGTCGCAGCTGTTGATGCCACACGGGTGAATTTAGTCCACGCTTCAACTGGCACACAAACCTCGTTCCCTTCGCACTGAGGGTCGCGATACACCACCCTCTGAGACTCTTTCTGCCAACACATATGAACAACATTACAGTTTCTACTCTGAATATTGGATATCATTTAGAGAAAAATATATACGCAGATAAATCTCTGCAAAAAAAAACAGTTTTAAACTTAGAAGAAGAAAAAAACATAGGTTTGATACATGGATACATGAAGCTTACTTAAGTGTCCCCAGCAATCTTATTGCTGATACAGTGCTTGAACCTCATTCCAGTGTCACCCGCCATCATTGTGCTTCAATATATTACCCTTTAATCAGCATAAAACCAAAATCATTCACCCACTAGCTTTAAAGGGTAATGAAAGCAGGAATCGTTAACAATAGCAACACAAAAGTACCTCCTAAATTCTGAATCTGTTTATCTCGAAATTTGTCCTTATGTGGTGTACTCCTGTATGAACATCCCTTGAACACCAGTTCACCACTCTCCTCTTACCTAGAAGGTGCACAAGTTGGCCACAATGGCTGCAAAGCAATTATTTCGTATATTGTATGTAAGGGTGTGGCTTTGGGCAAGTGGCGTGGTTGCAAGGAAATTGATGAAGTTGTGGATAAAATGACGTGGTTGTGCGAAATGGTTGAGGTTGTAGAGAAGGTGAAAAGTTCGAGAAGAAGTTAGATTTTCGAGACGTGTGTTGGTTGTAGGGACGGCTCAGGTTGTTTGGAAGGGTGTGTGGTTTTGCGAATAGTCTGAGGTTGTGGAAAGTTGTGATTTTGGAAAGGGGTATGTTTGTTGTAAATGAGTGCTGTTGGAGGTGGCTGGTTGGCTGGTTGGTTGGTTGTGGTTGTGAAATGAATGAGGTTGTGCGAAAGGGGAATAGTTGTGAACATGGACACACCTTTTTGTGAAAGGAGTCCATATGTCCGAGTGGTGCAGTTTGGTAGAAGGATGAGGATTCATGCAATGGTGTGTGGAAGGGCGTGATTGAGCATGTGGTGATGCTGTTTGAAAGGGGTAAGGTTCTGGGGAAGGCGCGCTGTTGATGAAAAAAAATTGCAGTTCTTGGAATAGGTTAGTTTTGTGCATGGGATTCGATTCTGGGAAAAGTGTAATGTTTGCGAACAAGGGATGTGGAAGGTCAACTATTGTGTGGAAGAATTGTGGTGCGGGGAAGATATATACTCTTAAAAAAGAAACTTGACACTGACTTTCAAAATGTAATATAATGCGATTGTTTCAAAATAGGACACAGAAACCATAATTGAAACAGTCTTTGAAGATCAATGTACACAATGTTCAAAACATTAATCGTGTCACCTAGACAGACACACGTACACGATACAGTTAATGTCACAGGGGTACAGAAAATGTCAGTATCGGTTGTGCCCACCACATGCATCAATCACCGCTTGACAACGACGACCCATAGATGCAATAAAATTGTTAATAACACGCTGTTGGATGTGCTGCCATTCATGCTGAAATGCATCAAGAAGCGCCGGAAGTTTTTGGGGCGGTGGATTCCTTCTACGAACGCGTCGATCCAACTCGTCCAACAGATGCTCAATCGGGGACAAATCTGGTGACCGGGCTGGCCAAGGCAATGTCTGGATGTTGTTGTGCTGTAATAAGTCCTGACAAACACGTGCAATATGCGGTCGAGCGTTGTCCTGCTGGAACTGTCCGCCACGAACGTTGACGTGAGGAAGAACGTAAGGCTGTAGGAATAAGTCTCTGTAACGCACACCTGGCAATGCACCTGCCACATGCACGAGAGGCGTCCTACCACCGTGATGAATTCCGGCCCATACCATGACACTCCCGCCGCCAAATGGGGCAACCTGCTGCACACAGTTGGGGGCGTAACGTTCACTCTGACGTCTGTAGACACGTGCGCGCCCATCAGCACGTGTGAGAAGGAAACGGGACTCGTCAGTAAACAGTACATTTCTCCACCTTGCCATGCCCATCTAACCCTCTGTTGGCACCAAAGCAGACGATCCGCCAGATGACGTGGGACCAATACATGACGTCGAACTGGTCTTCATGCAGAAAGTCAAGCCTACCTCAGTCTGTTGCGTACCATTTGATCTGATAGTCTGCGTACCCCAGGGATCTGTGTGGTTGTAGACGTTGCGGTGGTAGTGCGGTCTCGGAGGTGTCGCAGCCGGATGTATCGATCTTGTGCTTGGGTTGTCACCCTTGGTCTTCCTGACCTTGGTCTGTCGTCAACTCTGTTGGTGTTGTTGTATCGGGTCCACAATGCGGAGATTGTCTGTCTGGATACGCCAAAGTGCCTGGCCACTTCTTGCTGAGTTGCTCCTGCTTGTAATCTCCCAATGGCGTTGTTCCGTTGAGCTGCATTCAGTATTGGCATTCTGTTACCTCCTCTACTGCCGTTATAAGGACTGTATGAACAGCCGTTGATGTGGATTTTTTTACCCATTCAGCAGGGGGGCCTGCATGCTTAAATGCAGGATCCTATGCTGCACGTTTTTTTACAGGCGTTTGCGTTTGGATGAAGCTGTAAAATTGATCCCCAAACGCCTCGTTTATGTGCTTAACATTTGTTTTCGCGAATTATAGACACATCATCTTTCTGTTTGACTTATTTGGTTCTGATTTAATGTCATTATTTTAGATATTTGGCAAAAAGTGGTTTTCTGTGCCCTCTAAATGGGTTGTAAAAGTAAATCAGGCATTAATACATGACTCGGGTAAGAAAGTGCATGGCAAAATATAAAAACAAAACTTGAGAAAGTGATGCGGGTCTCAGATGTTTACCACTTCGGTGAAACCCACGAGCACGGGTATGGTGCTGACAAACCTAGAAACATAATCGGGGCGAACCGGGATTCGAACCCACAATCATAGGTTTCTGGCGTGCCCAAGGGACGCAACTCTGCACAGCGAATCGCGGCCCCATTAGACGACTGGGCCACCCTTGCCCCCACTTATTTAATGAAGATAACAATACACTACTTCTTTTTGTGTACCAATAGGTGATTGTGCTATAAAGACAATGTTATGATTTTCATCTAAATATGTTATTATGTTATTTAACATACCCAATACTTTGCATGGGGCATCGTCTCTGTCTCTGTGTCACCTTGTGTGTGCAGGTGGCAGCTTCTGGTGGCAGCATCCCAGGTGTAGGAGCCACACCTCGTTGTGTATGCACACAGAGAATCACATACCAGCGAGGAAGGCACCACCCTGGTAAGGAACACATCCTCGCCTTTACATGTGGCGTGGCTACATATAATGTAGACTGTAAACAGCTCAAATACAAACATGTACATGGTTGAGGGTACTGTTAGACTGTACTTACTCCTACAGAGGCCGACTAGCAACTAACATGCAACAGTAACGTACAGCTTAATATATCATTCCGTAGGGAATTAACTTGCACATTAATATTGATAGTGAAGTTCTGCAAGTGCTAACTTAAGAACTGACAACTTACTGATTGATTTTCTATAAGTGAGGGACGGCGGTTTTCTTTTGGGTAAAGCATTAACAAAAGTAAGGAAAATGATTGGAATGTTTGAGAAAATTTGATTGAACACATATTAATCCTACACACATTAATCCTACACACACACACAGAGGAAGACAATGCCTCTTACTAGATCCCACAACAACCTCCTGTTGTATCCATCCTACACATGGTCACATATATTTCATTCCATCCTACACATGGTCACATGTATCTCACTCCATCCTACAAATGGTAACGTCAACAGCCGGGTAGAATAGATCTTCAGCAACCCATGCTTGCTGTAAAAAGGCGACTATGCTTGTCGTAAGAGGCGACTAACGGGATCGGGTGGTCAGGCTCGCTGACTTGGTTGATGCATGTCATCGTATACAAAAGTAAGGAAAATGATTGGAATGTTTGAGAAAATTTGATTTGTCTCTCACTAGATCCCACAACAACCTCCCGTTGGGATACGATGACATGCATCAACCAGGTCAGATGTTCGTCTCTGGCCGAGAACAAAATATAAATTAAACATTTCTTTTATATAAGCTTCATACACCCCACATACTTCAAGTATGTTAAAGTCTCTTCATAAATTAAAAATTAAATTTTCATTGAAATTTCTGCATTATGATTAGCTGAACTGGCCACATGTTATTGCATTCATTTCCCAAAAAGAATAAGCCACATCCACCGAGGCGCACTGCTTTTTTATGCCGCCTTCTCCCAGACATATTTCTTCCGGTTCGTTACACTCTGACTCTTGCACTTTTTCTCGCCTCTTGCCTTAATTGACAGGTCCTATGAACATTGTTTTGATCCTACTCTCCATTGATTGGCTACCGACTGTGTAGGCGTGTCAAGTTATATGCATAAACTAAACGATCACCTGATTCATGTCACGACACAGTATGTATTCATACACCTGGAATTTTCATCAATTTCGTCATGTTTGTCTGCTTTGATACATACAACTGTTTTTGGTCAAACCATTGTAGATAAAACATGTTTCACGTTGTCGAATATTATTATAAGCATTGACTGATCAACATGATCAACATTGATATAAACCTCTAGGAAACAGGTATTGCTTTTATCTACCTTTCGATCTAAATATTGAGCATTTCATAGAATGAGGGCCAAACTGTTTGAACGTCGGAGCTTGCGACGTTCATACATTGTTGGCCCTCACTCTATGAAGGTTCATACTCCAATGAACTCACACAAAATGAAAGTCAATTCTTATAATTTATTTTGTCACTATTTTTACCTCAATTGACTAAGACTTTGAGCTATACACAATTATACTTAGTACGTGTGACTTCGTGTTTACACTGACAGCCATACAACAACTATCACACAGTTCCTCAAAACGAGAGGTGAGATGAGATTATGTATGCTCAACATGCTCAACAGGAACAACTTTTGTAGTTTTTGTTAACAAATGTACTCAAATAAGATCCTCATTAGAGGGAAAGGTCTGATAAGAACTACCGTATTAAGTCAGTCACAATAACAGCGCGTCGTAATACATTTATATAAAGTCCATGACGTCAAAATGGCCAACACGATAAACGTGACTGGAGAGATTTTCGAAATTCTTAATGAACCCGTGGCTATTACAAGTGTTAGTCATCACTGATCAGCTGGCCGATAACTGAAAGGCGATTCCAAACATATACTAAGGAAGATTCATATATTGCTGTAGAGTGTCACTATAGTCTAGACACGGATCGAGTTGTTACTACGGTAGTTTGATTGTGCTTTTCTTCGTTTTGTTCTCTAAGATGAGTTGTAGTGAGGATATCCTTGAACAGAGGGCGATCAAACTATCTGACTTATCCCAATTTATGGTCAAACGCTAAGTTCAAAATTAAAGTCTAAATGATGTGAAAGAACGCCTCTGTATTTATTCGTGCTCGGGAATTCGAATAGGTTCTCCCAAGAATGTAGAATAGTCCGTCAGTCTTTACACCATTTCAAGAACATGGCACGTGAAAAGCGTATGAACGACAAATTGCCCTTTTAAAAATGTCCAGCTATATCACATTGGGGACACCAAAACTGGGCTTCAAACATTGTACCCATGTCGGGAGTCGAACCCATGTCTTCGGAGTGACGAGCGAATGCTTTGACCACTGGCCTGCCCTGCCGCCCCTCTTAATAGTGATCACCTCAGATGAATATGTACTGCTGAAAGAGGAACGCCAAACCAAAATTTAACACATATGTACTGTAGATAACATGAGTGATGGCATATTGCAAACAGGATATTGGTGGAGAGTGTACAGTAGGAAGACAACAGAAGGAAAATGAGAAATGTCAACGTAATGAGAACACAATATATCGTGTGTCCAGCATTATCGTCAAGTACTGCCGGACATAGGCTAAATTAGAGTATTGTTCACACGTTCTACCTGGAGTGCATTTGCAGTCGTTTGCAGCGTTTGTGTTTTATGAAGGCCCTATTACACCGGTAAACTAACTCAAGAGGTCCACGGGGGTACCTGTATATTGTGGCTCCATAGTAAATGTTGTTTATACATGGGATGCGTTTGTTGTGGCATTTTGAAGTTCAAACATGACAATACAGTGTCATAAGGGAAACAATTGCAATGTGGGATGTCTTGCACCAAGTTTTTTTTCACCAGTGGAGTAGACAGACACACACATCATTACTCTGCCACCCCTAAATCTGTCACCCTCCCGTATGCAGTACGGCAAAACGATAATGGCGACAGTATTCCATTGCAAGTTAGGCCATACTCTAGCTTCTTGACACCTCAGACGTTGCAACGATGCATATAATATGAATGAGCCCACACAAGCAGCTGACTGCTCTTGACATGTAATGGTATTGTAGAGAGATCCTGCAGCATTCACCAAGGACCATAGAGTTAATTGAATAAATGCTGAGACTTACAATTCTTTCATATACGTTTATCCGAATTAGTTCCATTACTTGTTAGACCATATATTCAATATGTGGTTTCCAAATTGTCAAAACATTGACATAGAATGAGACCTATCGTAAAATCAAATATTCAACATTTCATTATATGTCTAAAGTTTTCGAGACATAGGTTGATAGTGATGATTCTGTGTCTTGTGCTGCTAAACATATTTGTAATTTGGTCTATGAGAGTTGTGGAGCGAAAATAGTTCCAAGATAATAGCAATTATTCAGTTTTTTGGTTGTTGCCCTTTGAAATACCACCATGTCTGAATACATGAATTACGTCTTGTTAAGACGCATAATTATTCCTGCAGCATTACACAACTCTTCAACAAAGTTAATTTTCTTCTGCTGCCGTTTAGAGAGTCGGATGCTGCTCAAACATTATGATAATGGCAAATGCTTCCCTCAAAGACAAACCTCCATCAATTCAAGGTAATGGATACAACCTACTCCCAGAGAGGCATGGAACACGTCGGGACCCTCAACAAGACGAACAAGGGTAATTGAAAAGTGCAACATCTCAGTTCTACAATGTCGATGTATGTACTTCGAGTAGAGCAGACTTGATGACACATATTTAAAATGAACAGTAGATCCCCATTTATCTGTATTGTTCTGTTTTCAGTATAGCTACGAGAATACGGGAGCTATTACAGATTCATTAATATGTAATATTCCAAGATTGTGATGACTCCAGCATACAAGTCAAAGTTGTCTTGACAGTTGTGAAATCTCATAGCGATTCGGGGGACTGAGGTCATTCCAAACTGAAAGCTCATAAATTTGTATTTGCCTGATCATGCGTGGTAGTCAAGGTGTGTTTCAACTTGTGACGTTTGCAGGAATCGTTCTACATTTGATCCATATATCTTATTTCGAAACAGAAAAGTGTATTTGCGGTAACTACTACATTCACACCATGTATTGCACTTTTTCTTAGAACGAAAACATCACAGAAAAAATAGGTGCAGTAACGAATGCAGAAGAACAATCGATCTCCTTACAGAATCTAATCTATGGTGCTGCTCAGAACTCAAGCATCGATAAAGAGGGATCGGAAAAAACATCACGCACCGTTGAAGATTTACGAGAGCAAAAACGGTAGATGAAAACAGTGCCATTGTATATGCTATAGAAGTTCTCAATCATTCTCAACCCAGTGAAGGTACTGTCATGATACCCGCATGTGGTGTGTTACCTTCAGAAGCGTATACATCATTTGAATTTGTTTTTAAATGCGTTTCGAATACGATTTGCAGTCGAGGCCGAAGCAGAGACAAGTACCTACGAAAACTTGACAGAGAAGCCCCCAGTATCTTACGAGTCCATCAGAGCATTTCGATACCAGAACAGCAGTGCTCGATAGTACGGTAACCACTATCTACAACAGCTGTACCCTTGAGAAACAAAATCATAATAAACTGTGTACATGAAGCGATTTTCATTCTCTGTTCTAATGTACAATTTATATCAAATCTGACATATTTAGTACTGTATTAATGTGATACTGACATAACTTTACTGACCTTCAATATATGTCATTCATTTCCAGATCCTGGGAATACACAAAGAAGCATGTAAAATGATGACATCAAAGAACAGTGATGTGACAATTTTGTTTACCTTTTGTATAGTTTACTTTTAACATATGACTGTTACCTTGGAGAGTATACCTATGTTATTTTATAGTATAAACCTTTGTACTATGTAAACATATAGCATACCAAACTGTTTCACCACACTTTTGATCGGAATGTTCGCGTCTTGATAACTTTCTGGTACTATTGTTGATTTATTATATTATTGACTCATTTATAAGTTTGTATACAAAGAGTTGATATTTTATATTGTATGTTTATTTATTAAAACAAAATTTATGGTATAATAGTAGTTTGGTGAATGATTCATCGCTTACATACATGTTGGGTTCTAGATCTAGGTTCAGTAGGGATAGTTTCATTCAGAATCGCCAGACATTTGAAAATCAATGTGTACAGATGAATACAAACAACTGTAAGTACACTAGATGAACTGATTTGAGGAGATTTAAATAGTAAGTATTTCGGATAGCAAAATAATGACTGTATTTCACTCTCGTTAAAAATCTCAAATATTTGTACTAGTAAGCCAGCTTACGGTAACTTGCTGATGCTGGCGTTCTTTCCTGATTGATTCAGTCGACATAGTTCAGATCGAGACAGCCGACATGGTTCAGAAAGTCGACATAGTTCAGACAGCCGACATGGTTCAGACAGCTAACATAGTTCAGACAGCCAACATAGTTCAAACAGCCGACAAGGTTCAGACAGTCGATATAGTTCAGACAGCCGACATAGTTCAGACTGCCGACATGGTTCAGGCAGCCGACACAGTTCAGACAGCCGACAGTAAAGACAGTCAACATGGTTCAGACAGTGGACATAGTTCAGACAGCCGACATGGTTCAGACAGTGGACATAGTTCAGGCAGCTGACATAGTTCAGACAGTCGACATGGTTCAGACAGTGGACTTAGTTCAGGCAGTCGACATGGTTCAGACAGCCGACATGGTTCAGACAGCCGACATAGTTCAGACAGCCGACATAGTTCAAACAGTCGATATAGTTCAGACAGCCGACATAGTTCAGACAGCCGACATAGTTCAGACAGCCGACATAGTTCAGACAGTCGATATAGTTCAGACAGCCGACATAGTTCAAACAGCCGACACAGTTCAGACAGTCAACATGGTTCAGACAGTGGACATAGTTCAGGCAGTCGACATGGTTCAGACAGTGGACATAGTTCAGGCAGTCGACATGGTTCAGACAGTGGACATAGTTCAGACAGCCGACATGGTTCAGACAGCCGACATAGTTCAGACAGTCGGCATAGTTCAGACAGTCGATATAGTTCAGACAGCCGACATAGTTCAGACAGCCGACACAGTTCAGACAGTCAACATGGTTCAGACAGTGGACATAGTTCAGGCAGTCGACATGGTTCAGACAGTGGACATAGTTCAGGCAGCTGACATGGTTCAGACAGTCGACATGGTTCAGACAGTGGACAAAGTCGATATAGTTCACGTCAATCTAGGATCACAATGAAGCGATGCTGTGGAAATGAGGTGTTGTATATGATACAGGACGTGAAATACTTCCCTGGGGGTATTCCTTACGGCATTTGTAATGCTGCAATTGTTTAAACATTGTAACCTCACTGACTGACGTCATGGCACCGTATGACGTCATCGATGGAATGTCGCAGCATGTTCAACATTAAAGGAAAAGTGTGAATTCGATCTTGCTGTTTAAACATTATGATGTTTTAGAATAGATGAACGTTTTATGTACGTGTTTTAATACTTCATAATGTTAAATACTACTACTACGACTTCTACTACTGCCTCTACTACTACTGCTACTACTACTTCTTCTACTTCTACTACTACTACTGCTGCTACTACTACTGCTACTGCTGCTGCTGCTGCTGCTACTATTGCTACTACTATACTACTACTATCACTGCTACTGCTACTATTACTGATAGTTTCTTATTGTGTCATGATTCCATTAGTTTTACTAATAAAACACATAGTTAAAACACACACACCACGCCATGTCTAGCCTTAAGGACACTACAACCTCTCGTCAATCATATTTGATAACATTATACACATACATACAACATCCTTATTACAGCATAAATATCAACACTATTAGCGACAGAAACCAGACATAAGCGACAGCACAGTTACACGTCCAATTGTATAATATTATGGTTGTACAATAACAATAGCTCCATTTTGTTCCAGAAAAAACACCCATCTAAAACTAAGTGTAAGTACACGGTAATCGCGTTGTAATGAAGTTCATTGCTCAACGTAGGACGATAATATTGGCATTTATTACCCACGTGGTGACGATGCAGGTGGTAAGATATAACTAAATCCGCACGTCACACATGTGTCGTTCAAGGTTGATCTCGTTTTATTCGTTTTAATTGGATAACCGTGACCTCACTCACACCGGGACTACAAGGCAAAACTGAAGCAAGCTCATAAGAGCGAGACATAAGCGACAGCACAGTTACACGTCCAATTGTATAATATTATGGTTGTACAATAACAAATAGCTCTATTTTGTACCAGAAAAAAAACCCATCTAAAACTAAGTGTTATAATGAAGTTCATTGCTCAACGTAGGACGATAATATTGGCATTTATTACCCACGTGGTGACAATGCAGGTGGTAAGATACTAAATCCGTACGTCACACGTGTGTCGTTCAGGGTTGATCTCGTTTTATTCATTTTGATTCGATAACCGTGACCTCTGTCACCCCGGGACTACTTTTTTCATTCATAAAAAAACGCGAGACGTCATTCATTTTGCAACTACAAGGCAGAACTGAAGCAATCTCATGTGAGCGAGGGATATTGACAAACACTTTATTAAACCAAACAAGATAGTTATACGCATCAAAGTTGGTTTGCATTCTATATAAGTTATGCATAGAGCTTCCACAGATATTATTTTATTGAGCTATATCAATTTACAATGTACGACTACCGATCAATAGATCGAGGGTCCTCATGAGCGTGACGCACCCTAGCCATTTCGAAATTTTCAATTTGATTTAACGTAAATCGATAAGCGTGGTGAAATGAAGTCAGTTTAAACTATCTGGACAGATATCTAGACTCACTTGGGATGATCCGGTTGTGCCATCAGTGTCCCCTTCGAGGCGTTTTTTGTGGCACTGTTTCGGGAGTTGTTTGTTCACCACTGCATGGCCAGATCACTCAAAGTGAACATTTCCGATACAAATCATCCGAAGTGCCTGACTTCTGATTACATGGACCAAAATATACCAAATGTGAAGAATAACATTCCGTATCTCTAGCGTAAAACCCTGTGAGTAGATCACGGTTGTATTTTCTTATTCCTGTGGTGACCTTGCTGTCGAAGCTGTCACTGACATGCAGGCATACTTGAGTTTGTTGATTTTCACGTCTTCAGTGGAGGGTGGTACAGTTAACATATAAGTCTTTTGCGAACACTCTGATTTCCCTCTTCCAAAATGGTACGGACATGATATATAGTCAGCTCATAGATCAAGGAAACTGAAACATTTTGATTTCACAGACAGGACCCCGGCAGTGCGAGTGACCAACTGTTGGTCCGATATTCAAAGCGCGGCGCTATGTGACTTTGCACATTTCCTTATAGGTGTCCTAGGTACCAACAACATGGCGCTTGAAAAAACATAAGTTGAGAAATTCTTCAAAAAGGGTCTTCAGCGTCGGTGCTTTTTTTTTCAAACACAACTGCAGGCGCATGTTGTTAATGCATAATAAACTATGCATAGAAATGTCAACAATGCCCATCTCTCAGCATCTATCAATATTCATGCGCAACCAGATTGTGCAACCGGTTTCAGTTTGGTCTATTAACGAACAAAAGTAGTTATGTATTTAAACTTACATACATGTATATAGTTAACGTGGGTAAAAAATAAAATACCACACTCATTCTCGTTAGATACCAATTTAACGAACCTCGTGCACTTTCTATGGTATGTAACGAGAATGAGTGTGGTAGTCTGTATAGATATCATATTAATGTGTTTATGTGAGGTCTTCACTGTCAAGTAAGCAAAGCCAAAAGCTCGCAAACTATAAATGTTTATTCATATTACAGGGTTTTTACGATGCGGAAACACACTCGGGTAATGATCCCTGAACAGGCATTGAAAAGATAACACACTCTATTTACTTCAGAACAACAAAGTCAGTCACCTGATATTTCTCCCGGAATATACAACTTCCTTGTTAGACAGGTAGCCCATTTACTAACCTTAGACATAACTACACGCACATGCGCTTTTTGTTCAGTGAGCATGTTATCACCTTGTCAACATTATTCTTCTGTCACAACTTAATGGGCGACTACCCCTCAACGCTCTAATATATTCACACGTAGTCGAACAAAAAAGGACCTGTTTGTGTTGTCAAACGTGAGGATTCACTGCACGACGACTGCTTATGCAGAGCAGGAAGATATATGCACCGACGTTCAACAACAATATAATATTGATACGATAGCGTCAATGTATATACGTGAGTGTTGTTTTACGCCACAGTCAGAGGAATTGCAGCTATAAATATTTCAGTCTGGACCAGACAGATCAGTGGTTGATATTAGGAGCGACATGCCATACAATTGTTCTGGGCACAGAGCATATCTCGGGATATGACAGCATAGGATGTGACAGAAACAAGCTGCATTCTATGTGATATTTAAATATTGAAACCGAGAATCTGTCAACAGTTCATACTAACATACACAACCGTTACACGACTTCGAAGTCATGAATGACAGTGTCAGACACTTGACTTGAAACAAAACAAATTCTATCAATCTTTCTTATTTCAACGATTCAAATAGCGGTATATCTCAATGAATAGATAACATTATAATCACTAAATTAACACCACACATAAACATACCACCCTACTCCACGCATGCTCAGCAATACCTGCATGAATGTTTGACAAAAAGACATTTCCTTAATACACAAAGGATAAATCGATCAGGTATATCTGTTGCGTAAAGGGATACAGTGTTTGTGTTAACTGAATGATAGACACCTTTTACCATCAATCATAATTCCTGGATTTGCACAAAATGGTTCGAATTGTGTGTGTTGTAGATTTCACCAGGGTCCTGAAAAATGTTAAGTCATATTTATCTATATATTCAGCCGTGTCAATAATGTCGCACACAATGACGTGCTGATGATGTCAATCACTGGATTGTCTGGTCCAGACTTGATTATTTACAGACCGCCAACATATAGCTGGAATATTGCCGAGTGCGGTGTTAAACAACAAACAAACAAACAAGCTGTTCTGTACACAGCCTGCATCAAGTGTGACATTATCTTGTGGCATCTCCAGATGACAAAGATTCAGATCCCCTCTACAAGGGTTGGGGCAGTAGGCGGAGCTGCTCTGCTCACCGTCGTTGTCGTGGACGTCGTGTGTATCAGACAGGGCAGAAAAGCAGCCTGTGTGTATTTGTGTTGAGATTCAAGACATACTGTACTCTGACGTTAGTTCCAGACCACAAAAAACTAGCATCTAAAACTGCCACAGCTATAGCGTTCATAATAACATTCAGTTACTTCCGATTAATAACATATAAGACGATCTGTATTTATAATATGTAAAATAATACAGCTTTTAACGATGATTGCAATTTGCTTTGAAAGTGAAACTTCCAGAGCAGTAAAATAACTTGGAAGGCGATGGATACGCGGAAGAAATAGTGGAAATCCCTCCATATCGTCCAGCTTCCGGTCGTGCAAAATATTCATTGTTTAAGTGTATCTCTATTGGTCTGGAGACCTGTGAAGATCCGGGGTAAAATAGGTCTTCAGCAACCCATGCTTGTCGTAAAAGGTGACTATGCTCGTCATAAAAGGCGACTAAAGGGATAGGGTGGTCAGGCTCGCTGACTTGGTTGATGCATGTCATCGATCCCAATTGCGTGGATCGATGCTCATGATATCAATCACTGGGTTGTCTGGTCCAGACTCGATTATTTACAGACCGCCGTCATGTAGCTGTAATATTGTTGAGTGCGGCGTTGAACATTAAACCAACCAACCAACTACATGTATTGATCTGGTGAATTAATATTTTCTTAAAGTTAACAGTTTACATGCATCTCTTCTCAATTATATCATATACAGACAATATATATCATTACAGAACACAGACGTGGAAAGGTTACTTGATATAATATATTTTAATTTTTTTATTTAACTTACCATACGATTCAATATTTTAACAAAGTATGTATATAGCTGAACAGTTACACATACAATAAAATACTAGTACATCAATCTTTGCAATATAACAATCATTTAAGCATAGTGAGGACTCAATGTACGCATCCCCAAAACAGATTTTGTATGATGAGGACAAACTGACACCACATCATATTCAGCAAATTGATAAGAACACAAAGAGATAAAGTGTCCTCAGATTATTATATTATTCATCCATATACCTCATGTATAGGGTACGAGTGTTAGCTCAG